TGCTATTTAAATACAAACATAAGTATGTACATATATTAAAAATCCGAGTTTCATTCAATTGTGTTCTTTTTTTCAATTTCAAATATCACTTTTATATACATTCATGCGTCCCACAGCCACTGGAATATATGGTTATAAAATGTCAACATATGTATCTTCCTGTGTTTACAAAATTTGCGTTGCGCAAAATACTCTTGGTTAGTGTCCTCGTTATTATTAATGGGAAATCGAAAAATAGAAAATAATTATTGTAAAATTAGTTTCCGTCCTCTCTGTGTTCCTATCGTCAGCAGTTCCGTATCAGCAGTAAATTAAACTTTGATTTCCTTCCTCCCTGTGTTTCTGCCATTTCCAATTCCGTATCCTTAGTCGTATTTTAGCTTTGCTAAGTGTTTGCTGCTCGTTTTTGTGCGCTTCGGTTCTAGTGAAAAGTTTTATTAAATTGTGACTTAAATTAGGTATTTAAGTGCAAAATGTGTTTTGTTAAGTGTTTGTAGTGTTTTAAAGTTGCAATTTTTTATAAATATATATCTTTATTTGTGATGAAAGTGCAAGCATATCAAATATGTCAAATGTTATATGGCCGATGCGCCGTCAGCGAAGTTTGCCAATATGGCGGCGCATAGACGAAGAAAAAGGCTTTCGCGCAGCAGTGAAAAGTGAAAAAGGTGAGTGCATATAAAAGTACGTACATATGTACATATTTAGGTACATAAATACATATCGATGGACCTTTGCAATAACGAAACAAATCAAAACTTAAAAAAAGCCAACTATGTACTGCACAGTGGTTTATGTCTCTAATCAATGCCAAAACTTGACGACTACGTTATAAATGTTTAGTATGGATTAGTCACAGATTAGACAAGTATTATAGACATTCGCCACTGTTCATAACTTGGGTTCTTTTCAGTTTTGAGTTGTGCCGTATTTCAATTTAATGGGCTATTAAACTGCATACCTAGAATTTTTCTAAAAATTCTGAACAAAAAGTTTAAAATTTTTGGGTGTAATTGTTAAGGTTTGTTGAATTTTTATAATCTTTGTACGAAGTTTGAAACGTGGATTTATGTGGTTCTGGTTATGTAATGTGCTAGACTTTTATAAAAAAAAACTATAAACATTGAATAAACCATAGACTACACCAAATCTGGTCAAAATGTCACTTAAACCTGTAGAACTGCTGACGATAGGAACACAGAGAGGACGGAAACTAATTTTACAATAATTATTTTCTATTTTTCGATTTCCCATTAATAATAACGAGGACACTAACCAAGAGTATTTTGCGCAACGCAAATTTTGTAAACACAGGAAGATACATATGTTGACATTTTATAACCATATATTCCAGTGGCTGTGGGACGCATGAATGTATATAAAAGTGATATTTGAAATTGAAAAAAAGAACACAATTGAATGAAATTCGGATTTTTAATATATGTACATACTTATGTTTGTATTTAAATAGCA